TACTAAGACGCCCTAGATCCTCACTCACGAACAATTCTGACAGGGCCCGTATGACACCATATCTGCAGCCATGGAGGAGTGGTAAGCCTAGACAACTTTCCCCGAACCGCGCTCTCTCCTCCTCCCAGTGTCGACGCTAACCTTGAGAACAAGAAGGGTTATCCTCTACTCATCTTAGCCGCCGATGGAGGGCATAGGGCTATCTCTAGACTGAGCCGGTATGGCGCTACACGTCTAAAAAAAAGTGCACAGTGCTTATCGCAGCGTGTGGTGCTCCACCCTATAAGGAACTTGCCTTTTGTCCCAAAACACATAACATCCTATATACAAAGATTATGTTCAATTTCCATAATTTCATGTTATCAACTATATAGCAGTAGATATCAGGACATATCTATAGTTTTCTGAATTACCGGAAAATGTCACAAGTAATTTGCCCATCTATATTATCACTAGAATTGGAGGGAAGAAGGTTGAAATGAAGAAATATTTAGAGCATAGGACAGGTTTCTTATAGGATTGAGCGTTACACGCTGCAACAAGCACAGTGTACTTTTCAGACGCATGGCACCATACCAATTCCAATTCGACGGGTATCAGTCAAGCGCGGGGCGCTGGAAGGAAGTTATAGAGATGCTCATGAGTATAATAGGTCGAATTTCAAGCTAGAAATTTTAGATCAGTGTGGGCGAACATCGCTCTCTTTGTCCGTACAGTACACGCGGCATGCGTGCTGACCTTGAGAGGTATAAAGGGACAACAAGATCCAATACGAGTACTAGTCCGACCATTAAGGGGAATATCGTCTTTCGGCTTTCTACATATTTGCGCGTCACTTCCTCTCCTTGCCATTCGCTCTGACTTTCATGTTCACGGTTGAGGGAACAACGAAATGCACCGTTCATGTATCATATAGAGCGAGGAATACTTGCTGGTGTGAGGAGATGTTTGGAGCTTTTTACCTTTTCCGGTTTTTCTCTTTCATAATTATGTAAGCGGGGTGTATGTTATAATATTATTAGAGTGATTAGCGCGCTATCTCACATGATTAGAAAAAAAAAACTCCCCATAACTTGGACATTCCTTTGCACAACCACCCTATCATATGAAATCACTCGCTTACAAGTATTCATACTTGTAATTTGTAAACGCCAAAGCACAATCCGACTTACCAGCCACCCGGGCAAACTCTTCATCGGGTAATACCCATGGGGACCTACACTCCTCTCCCTCACAGTGGCGCATACCTAACCTCCCACAGATAGGTGCCTGCTACCTCCTCCACTTGACGAGGCCCTGAACGCGCAAAGCTTACCAGTGTTCACATGTTGTGGGAACCTTCCCTTCAGACACTAAACAATTAGGTTTTGAGAGTGGCACTTTTTTTCTCCTTCTGCCAGAGGGATTTTCCAAAAATCCGGTATCATAATATATTATATGGTTTACCACCTTGATTGCTATCTATGACTTATATTTAACATCGAGTGGCCGTCCTTTTACTCGAAAACGTGACCTCGTAGTGGCGATCGAGCGGCACCGTTGAGTTAGTGTTGAGTACCAGCAAAAAAGAAAAGGTTTGCTATAGGATTCGTATTATAGGACACACTCCAGCATCAAATATCGGGTACTGGGGATAACAAGCAGGGCCCGAGAAGTAGGATCGGTGGGGCATGCCTGGGAGAGCGGGAGGAGAAAATCTCTGTAGTGATTGAAGGATACATATTAGTTTTTTTCTCCCTTGTATGATAGGACGTGTTCGTATTATTGGGGAGGGGGTGATTCTTGAGGATCTGAAGTCGGAGCACTTTAAAGATTGTTTATTTTTTTATTTTTGAGATATTATAAGATCCGACTGCCAGAGGAGTTTGAAGTATCGTAAATATATTGGCTAGGTTGAACAGCATTCATGACCGAATCTCTCCCCTAAACCCCCCATGCCACGGTATACACTTAAGTGACCTAACCTCCCAGGCGAAGGATTGGGTAGCAGTTTAACCCCAAGCCAGCCAAGAGGTATCATACCATAGATATCCTGGCACTTTTGGTGTTCGTATATGACACTTCCACTACGCAGCCATTCGGAACTCGTAACGTCCCCTCTACAGAATTCCATTATAGGACCAGTGGCTTAGCCTCTGGAAAATCAGGACTGGTGAATAAGCATCTCTTTTCTCGAGCCTCTAATTGTAAGATTGGGTAGAATCAAGAATCCCGCTGGATCATAACATCATATCATTCAGCGTTGTACGTTTCATTACCACCCCCTCACCATCTATACCACCACGCCTGATTTACCCAACGAAACAAGCCACGATACCCACCACAGTTCGACACATGAACAATCCCAAGACCAAATACTAACGGCAATTGCTCACCCTTACCACCCACCCACCCCACAGAGCTCAGCAATGGCAATCCATTCCTAAAACCAGCATACCTTTTTTGAGGAATAAAAAACGGCCAACTCATTCCCATAAAAAACGAGCAAAAACAATAATCATTGCGAACCCTCAACCTCCAATACCATCAAACTCGCTCCTCCATCTTTCTGCCCTCCTTACTTGCTCCCCCCCACCTCGGTCTTTCCATATTCCTCACTCCCTCCCGCCTCCTTTCCGCTCTCCTTACCCCCTCCCCCCTTCAGCTTCTCCAACTCTTCCCCTACGCGCTCAACCTTCTCCCCCAAAGCTATAAGCTCGTCCCACATCGGCTGCAAAGCTCTCTCCAGCTGTTCATCGAAGATAGCGGCGTACTCTTTAGAGTATTTCACCTGCTTCAGCATCAGGTCGTGCTCATCCGTCTTTCTTTTCATGCGGGCTTCGACAAGGGCGATCTGGTGTTTGTAGATAGCGAGGTAGTTCTGTAGCTGACTGACCCTTGAAGAAGGAGAGGAGGAGGAGGAATAAAAATAAGCCATTTTGGTGATTTATGAGCGAGTAGTTTGAGTTGGATAGGGTGGGGATGTGAATGCTGGTGTGTGGTTTGTGGTGGTGATAGGAGCAGAGGCATCGTGGAGAGCTCGAATTTATTGACGGGGGAAGGGTGGTTTGAATTGCGTAATTGGGTGCGTGTATAGAAGGGTGGAAGCGGTGAGGTTGGATGTTATATCTGGGGTGTGGTGTTTGGTCTGCGTAGGCAGTTCTTGATGCGCTTCGGTATGCGTGGCCTTGGAGGGGAGGAATTTCGCCGGGCGGATTCTAACTTCTGTGTCAGGGACCCCAAGTAGGGTGTTTATCGACTCCGAATAGACTTGAATGCACTCCTGGATGCTATCTGAGAAATACGGGTGCCCCTTTTCCCAACAAATGCTTTTCCTGGGGTTCTCCATCGATCTCAGATATATTGCTGTTCCGTATGCTTATCCACTAGGTAGGTCTCGGTAGCCGTGACTAGCTATGGGTATGCTCAACAGGCTGTTGTAACTACCTCCATGAGCTATATCTAATAGTGAAAACGACTTGTTGACCGGACGCTTGTAGTGCTGGCGTGTTAGCAGAAGTATCAATCACACACATATACCAAAACATCCTGACACCGGAAGTTTCGAGTAACACTTAGCGATGACATCGGAGAAGTAATAGGCCCAGAACCAGGTGCCTTTTTATCACCCTTCCCAATGAACAAACTAAATTTCGAAGACAAATACCCGGTTACCCCCCCCCCCCCCATTGAGTATCAATGACTGCTTGCAGTTTTCCAACATGCTTCTAATCGAGCCCTTAGCCCCTTTCGCTATGAATTGCATTCCGACTGTGCTCGAAACCCAATTTTCAAAGTTGAAATATCTCCAACTTGCTTTCTACACCATATATACAACTAGAATATCTCTAGTTGGTTTAGGTACAATTTTTTCGCCTGATAGTTGTGTACCACAGTGGTAAAGCGGATCAGCTGGATGGGGTGGGTACTGTAGACGCCGTATTGTGAATACCAACATCGGATGCGGTCTACGGGGGGAAAGAGGGAGAACAAAAGCGCTCTGGTAACTCTTTAGGAGGATCCTCTTTTGGTATCCTAGCAAATCACGACCAGTGATTGGAAAAGTCTGTGTGGAGCCCTATCTCCCTCAGTGGATATGTGAGGACACGGGCCTCGGGCGTTGCTAGAAACTGGACTGGGGTTAGGAACGATTGGTTGAGAATTCAGTACGATATGATATCGTTTCCTGGTGGGATTATCTGACCGGGATGGTAGTCTTAGCATACATCACTAACCATGTAGTCAATAAGGAGGCATACTAGATGGAGTTCCATATAGTAAGACCCTGAATTCCACAGCCCCCGAACACCTAATCACGACAACAGCTAGTCGCCAGTACGCAAAACCTTTAGATCGTCAAGATATAAGCAGTGCCTCTCCAACCCACACCCGGACAATTACACCACGGGGAGGAGACCCCAATCCCAGATCCCGAATCAGATCGTACCCCTCCACGAAGCACCAAGAAAGGACACGCCAAGTACCGGTACCGAACGAGAGACAAGAGCGAAGGCGATAGTACTGTACTGTACATGTACAGTACAACCCCCAAAGAACAGAACTCAGCACCGGAAGGCGGTACTGTACAACAAACACGCTTTCCATAGCAGATTAGCCAAGACAAAAATAACAACTCAAATCGCTGCAAATACAATCCCCCAGGTACGGTTATGGAGGAAGCTGGAAGTGTGGATTTACCTACTCTCCTCGCCGGAGTCCTCCGGTCCCTCGGCCTAAAGATACTATATCTCTTTGAAAATTGCACCAACTCAGAAACCCGGTCCGGTAGTCAGTCTTAGGGTAACCGCCGGGGCGGGAACTGCAGCCTGGGGCCGGGGCAAGATATGATATGTGGGTGGTCTCGTGAGGTAATCATATTCTATCACTCGGGTGGAGTGCGCCGAGGGCAGTTGGATAAACCTCCGGTCCATCGTTCAAGCGCGGGAACGGTAAACCCCGATCCTATAAAGTATACCAAGAGATGGAGAGAGGTGTGGTTATTAGTAGAGTATTTCAAAATCTAAAGAACCATATTTCCATTTCTAATAGCACAGTACAGAGAACATCAGCAGCAATACGCATCTATCTCTTCCACTCCTCGTGGAATCCAGCAACACTTTTAATAACCCCTGGTATATCTGTCGAAAATTCTCCAAAGCGACCCCGTTCACCACATCTCCTCTCCCTCCCCTTTTTTATGCTCCTCCCACATACCCCTCAACATCGCCCTCCCTTCCCTGTCCAACCCGTGCGCAAAAACTTTCACCCCCTCACTACCGAGCACCTGAAAAATCTTGCCAACGCCAACCGAAACATCCCCTTCAAATCCACCCATTAAACCGCCTTTCAGCACCTCCGCCAGCAGCCCGCCAACACATCCCGCGACTTCCTTCTTTTCCCTTTCCCGCTCGCTGTCCACTCCTGCCCTCGCACCCGCATGTCTTGGTCTAACCGATCCGACCGACGGCTCACAAAACGCCCCGAGAAGACGATTGAAGCCTTCGTTAACTCCTGCTGGGGTTATCCCCTGAAGGAGTTGCTTGGGAATGGGGGAGTGCGTGGGGAGTAGCCAAGGAGGGTGAACTGTCTTGTCGGACTTCTTGCGAAGACTAGCGGGCTTTCGTTTGATTATGCAATGGAGGAGCGATTGTAGAGCAGTAATCACGAGGTGGTACCGTCCACCACGAATCCGGCGGCGGTGGAGGGTCAGGATTGTGCGTGTTAGGTTGCATAATGCGAGGTATATCTCGTCCGGGCTAGCAGCGGTGAAATGCGGACCAGAGGAGGGGCTAGCAGAGAGGGTGACTGCCGTGAGACATTCATCAATGTTGGATTGGTGGATTGCCCAGAGCTTTACTTGTCAGCCGTTTAACGGGAGGGAGAGAAGGGGAGGTCGGGGTAGAGATACTTTTTCGCGGAGGATTACCTCCATACACCTTGTTACTGTTAGGAAGTCCTCTACTGTTGGCATTTTGTGCAGGTTTCGGGAGAGTTTCGAGAAGGTTTTCGAGATGCAGGTGGCCATTTTTTTTTTGGCGGGCTCGTCGTCGGGCCCTACAGGTTATCAGCGTAGTTGACGTGTAGATTGGAGGGGTATTGCTTACTTTTGATGCTCCCGACTATGGTTTTTAAGACTTCTCTATATTTTGGGCTGAATGCGGGGTCTTCCGGGATATCTAGTAGATATCCATCGACAATTGCTGCAAGACACTTCTCGAAGGCGTCGTGCTTAAGTCTCTCAGTCATTTTTTCGAATGCGGTTATCAACTCCTGTCCAGATCCATCCCTGTCTGGATGGTTATTCCCTATGGAATTGAAGCCCATCGTCTTAGTAAACTTAGATCCTAACATACTCATAACCAGGGCTGTAGTTTCTATCGCCTGATCGGAGGTTTCCGAAGAAGCGCAGAAAAGAATGCAGGCCTCTCTAACAACTCCGAGGACTTCATCCCCCCCCGCCGGCACTTTGTCGCAGAAAAGGTCTGATAGACCATGCTCCATTGCTGAATGAGTTACATACCGGGCAAATTGCATTGCTTTAAATGCATGTCAGTCGTGTATTAAAATGCGGAAAGTATCCAAGGGGAATTTTATACCTGTCCGACACCCCCCTTGGCCGCCTCGCTCAAGGGCCCAACACCTACGCCATATCTGCAGGAAATTTACATCAGGGAGAGTACCCCCGTCACCCTCGGGCTCCGTTAATAACTCCTCTAGACTATCCATCAACTTATCCTTCAACCCCCGTACGGCATCCTCCTGGCCAGCTTTCCAAAACTCCTCAATAATTATAGATGCTCTCTGTGAATTTTCCACCACAGATAATGGCATTTCATCTACCGCTCTCGTCACACTCACTAGGAACTCCCGACTGCGTTCTTGCTCTTTTGTTGAAAACGTGTGCCTCAGAATCTTCCTAGCGATATCCCCACCCTTTCTACCGGCCCATTCCACAAACCCCGTAGCATCAGTGGCTAAGAACGAACTAGCGTTTCCGAGCGTCCAGAGTCGATCCATCATTTGGATCGCCTTGGAATCTAACTCGGAGGAAGGCTTACTACTGGTCGAGGTGGGGCTAGAGGTGAGGAGAACTAAAGTGTCTAAGATTTTCTCTCTGGTTGCCCGCTTTATTGCTTCGAGAGGATAGTGTGCTATGCTATCTATTACGAAGGCGTATCGTTGGATGGCTTCATCGTTCATTCCCTGTCGGTGTTTTGTGGCCTCGGCTAAGGATTGGGAGGTGCAGTCCATGTCTGAGAAGGGCCGTAGACGACGGATGAGACCGGCCATTGCGACGTCTAGATGTCCGGTGGAATTAGTATGAAATACGTGAAGGCATTTTAGGTAAAACTTATAGAGTATTTACTTTTAAGCGTCGGAAGCTCGAAAAACTCCCCATCAGCCAACATATTCAACCAGAGACTCCGGGCGGTGATCAGTGACTTTTCGCTGTCTTTAGTACGCAACGCCATATCTAGAAAGTGGTCTATGAATCTCTCCTTTACAGGGAGGCTTCCGATATGCTCGATCGATTCCAACCAGTTGTTGACAAACCCCGTTTTTAGTGCTAGGCAGAGATTCATGTTGTTTATATCTTTCACGGAACCAGTCCACCCTGTGCCACTAGTAGACGGCAAAGCAAGGTCTAAAGCATCCTCTGGAGAGGACACACCGATACAGCCGGAGAGAGCGATCTGGAATTCCTTAAAGAACAACGTCTCCTGTGGGTCGACATCCCTCTTCGTACCAGGTTTAACTCGTTGGATTAATCCTTGATCGACAGCGGTCTTATCTATCTGTATCACCCTAAGCAGCACCCTCCACCTCCGCCATCCGCCTGTGGATACCTCCACAGCGCTCACAAGCTTCGGTAGGTACTTCTTAATCTTTGCTTCAGTTGCTTCAGTCCTCACGCCTCGCAGTAGCGCATCAATAAGGACCCAATTAAGATCCGAACCCGCTTCGCAAACTTCTTTGAAGATATTTTCTATTTGGAAGCTCGAGAGGTTTTTCTCAAGCCTGTCTCCTATCATTTTTGCTACTGCATCATCCTCCCACAGTGCAGCTTGTGATCGTAATTCTTTTACCCATATCTCGATAAACCCACCCAGGTTCCGAGCCTTTGCATAGCTTTCGATTAAGGCTTCTAGCGTCTTGAGGATCTGCTCGTTATTGTCACCAACGCCGGCGTGACCAATAGCATGGATAAGATTATCCCCGCGCCGTTGATTATTCCTTCCTAGAAAAATGTCAAAGTCGAGTTTCAGAGCCAGGTCAATCAGCCTCCACCTCACATCCCGTGCCCTCCCACTCGCAAGGCCTGACGTCTCGTCAACAATAAGCGATAAAGTTTCAGATGAGAGATCAATATTATTCTCCACCAGCAACTCAAGTAGGTCTGCGAAGAGTTCCGGAGATTTTTTTGCGTAACTAAAGGGTATTATCGCCTGCATTAGGGTCTCGACGGTTTCGATGTCTGACTTGCTTCGACGGAGTTGCGGGCCTATGGCGAGGTGGAAAAGTTGGATTCTGCCAGTGGTTTGTGATTTTAGTGGTTCCATGAGCGCCATTAGTTCTGTGGAGGATGCTTTGGATGGTTTCCCAGGGGTGCTTGGGAATATTACTCTCGGTGTGAAAATGAATTCTAAAAGTAGTCCCTCTAGGTATGGCTGTAATGTTGGCTGCGGAGGTTGGAAGGCTAGGAGGTTGTTTACCGGTGCAAGGCAGGTAGTAGAAAATACACTTGAGAGCTACCAGCAGAAGGTCAGTATTAACCCAAAGCCCGGAATAATAGGGAACTCGCCTTCTTTGAATTAGGATTTCCCCAGATGCAACTCTTCCACACATTGAGAACGGATCGCGTCCATTCTTCGGAAACAGTCTTTCCAGCCTCTAATAACACCAAACAAGCCTCGAAATACGACCCAAGAATCTCAGCCCCAAGCTCCGGTGTCCCACGAAGTGTTGCGACAACCCCATTGTCTCTCCTCACACGGCCAGATGCTTGCTCTTGCAGATACGACAGAACATGATAGACACTCGGCAGCAATTTCGACACCGAAGCCTCCACTTTTCCATCCACAACCGGAGACCCCTCCTCCGTCCCACTGGACTCCACCGACTCTAGTTCTTCCCGCGGCGTATGATACGACTCTCCACGATCGATATCCATCGCATCCTCATCAACCTCAAACTCATCCCCCACCACCACAGCAGGCAGCGCCGTCCCGTCAGATAGTGTCTTCCCAACAACCTGCAAAAAGCTATGCTTCTTCAAAATTGTTGCGACGGAAGCATGCGACGAGGTGCGCAATAGTTTCAACAGCATCCGCCAGAACTTGGGATCACACCTAGCACTGACGCTCCCGTCGCCCTTCTCGCCCAAGCGTTGTACCAACCACTCTAGTAGCCATTCTTCCTTCCGCGGGAAAAATAGTTTGTTGTCTTGTAGGACTCTCTCGGCGAAGGAGAGGAGACTCGGGAGAGGCAGGTCTCGGGAACGGAGGTATTTTGTAACTTCAACTGTACTGTTTAGTGTGGGGGGCTGTGGGAGGAATTGTTAGACCTTTATGCGGGAAACTCAATAGAGAGGATTTTGTTTACTCACCCGGGGTAAAGGCGGTGGCATTGCAATTGGGGATGATCTTCTTTTTTGTCCTCGGTGGGGGTATATTTAAAGTGTCGTTGTAATTGACGCTTTTTGAGGAAATTTTTTGAGCCTCATTGAGACCCTGGATGCAAGAAAAGCTTGGCGAGTATCATAACTTGGCACGCTACACAGTTATTTCGCACCTCCGCGGACATCGGTGGTCTTCGAAGAATTGATACTGTAAGATTCCGTTGATTCTCACGGCATCGCAGGTGGGCTCTAGAAGGTAACTTATGTTAACACCGAGAGATCAACTCAATTGGGTCAATTCCATGAATTGGGAGAGTGGCTGTAGCTTAGAGATAATAGCACTCGGGCAAGTTCGGGCTGGCATTCGGATAGAGAGGAGTTGTCACGGACATGTTATTCTTTGGGGATGAAGGTAGTCCAGTTCTTTCTCAAGGGTTTGCTCTACTGACCTAGCAGTCCAGAATACAGCAACTCTCGAATACGCCCTGCCATCCATTTATACCCCCCCCCATTTGTTTATAACAATGTCATGGAGAATATCCTATAAAGCCAGTGATCCTTATCTCGCCATCAACCCGATCAGATATTGTTGAGGATCGCCGAGCCCCACGTAAAAAAACCAATGTCGATCCCACCAAAAAGAAACTTTAGTGGGGCGGCCCTTCCCTTCTTCCTATCATACTCCTCCACCCACCAGGCCAACATATATATTCTCCCAATCTCTCCAAAAAAGAAAAGAAAACAAAAATAATCTTTACCCTCCAAAAAATCATATACCAGATTCTCCAAAAATGCCCGCCCGTGACGAGATAACCTACTTCGGCGCTGGCCCCGCAAGCCTCCCAACTACCGTCCTCCAAAATGCCTCCTCTGCAATCCTCAACTTCCAAAACACCGGCCTTGGCCTAGCCGAGCACTCACATCGCTCCGCCCTCTCTCATGGCATACTCGCATCCACCGAATCCTCTCTCCGTACTCTGCTGTCAATCCCGGAAGACTACACTGTCCTCTTCATGCAAGGCGGTGGAACCACTCAATTCTCCGCAGTAGTATACAACCTACTAGGTTACTGGGTGCAGAGCCAGCTCAACAAAGCTAGCGGGGACATCGAGGTCGTCCGCGAGAAGCTCAAAAAGGCAAGGATGGACTACGTTGTTACAGGAGGGTGGAGTCAGAAGGGGAGTGAGGAAGCGAGGAGGCTGTTTGGGGAGGAGAAAGTCAATGTGGTTACCGATTCGAGGAAGGTTTTCGGAAGATATTGTGGGATTGAAGAAGAGAAGGGGTGGAAGAGGACTGAAGGGGAGGAGAGAGTTTTCACGTACTATTGTGATAACGAGACGGTTGACGGGGTGGAGTTTCCTGGGTTTCCAAGGAGCTTGGAGGGTGGGGTTGTGGTGGCGGATATGAGTAGTAATATACTCAGTCGTAGAGTGGACGTTTCAAAGTTTCATGTCATCTTCGTATATCCCTCTCTGCCCCCCTCTTATCCCACCCGATACCTAACTACCACCAGGCTGGCGCACAAAAAAACATCGGGATAACCGGCCTCACAATCGTAGTTCTGAAATCCTCAATTCTCCAAATCCAACCAACCCCAGGCACGCTCCGCGCCTTGGGCCTCCCCGTCCCGCCAGTAATGATGTCCTACCCCAGCCTGGCAAAGCACAATTCCCTCTACAACACCCTCCCCATCTTCGACGTCTGGATCGCCGGCGAGGTAATGAAGGAGCTTGTTGCGGCCGGTGGCCTCGCAAAACAGGAAGAAGTTGCCAATCGCAAAGCGGAGAGGCTATACGCTGCCTTGGGGCGTGCGCCCGGGATTTTCAAGGTCGTTCCACTCGAGGGCGCGCGCTCTAGGATGAATATCTGCGTCAGGGCTCACCCTGCGGAGCTCGAGGGGGTCTTCTTGAGGGGCGCAGAGGAGAGGGGGTTGCTGGGGCTCAAGGGGCACAGGAGTGTCGGAGGTATCAGGATCAGTAATTGTGTGCCTTGCCTCTCCTCTCTATTCTCCTGCATCTTGTGGCTGACATGGGAATCCATAGACAATTCGATCACTGAGGCTAGCGTGGATAAACTGGTTCAGTATATTGACGAGTTTGTGCAGAAGAATGCCTAGACTTGTATCCGCTGATATTGGTGGTCAGAATTGGTGGGAGATATTCTAGATTTGATAGGGTTTTGGGATAAAATGGGAATGGGGGAGTTTATGACCTTTACTTTAGCTCTTAGACTAGACTGTCAGATCATGAGTACTCACTCGACAATCTCTTGATTCCGATTTTCTTCCCCTTCACAAATACAGTAATTTTCTAAGGCTTCCTGGAAACAACTTGAACCGCAACCAATTCAGCCTTCTCGAGAATCCCCACATGTATCTACAATCTGTTGAAACAAATGACCCAAAAACTCCCACCAAATCCCAAATATAAAGTACACATGAAAGAAACAGAACGTGCCAGAAACCTTCCTCTACAACCCGTCACTCTCCTCCCCCCAATAACCCAACCTCGTCATCCTCATCGGCCTCGCTCTCCAAATCGCCCCCCAGCAACCTCCTCCCTTCCCTGGCCTCTCCGATACCGGACAACCTCCCAGCAACACCGGCAGCGTTCTCCTCAGCATTGAGCACAAAGTACACATCTTTCTTGGTGAGCACACCCTGCAATAACCCATGTGTGGCAAAAAGCACATATCTCAAGCCCAACTTCTGGAACAGATTCGCGACAAGCATGAGACTACTTTTTGGCGAGAGGGTAATGGGAGTTTGGTCCATCCAGGGCCGTAAGTCCAAGTAATCTCCCTCGATAACGCTGCGCGGCGCCGTAAACACGCACTCCGTATCACCGCTAGCGCTACGAGTCCGTGCTTGATCCAGCGCGAATCGCAATTCCGATCTAGAGATGTACCCCACTAAACCGGCCTGGCGAGTATCGCTCACGACCGGAAATCCTTTATACGGCTGGCTTGCCAATATCCCCTCTAGGGAATCAATAGTATGTCCCACCTCCGTGATAACCACCAAATCTTCAATCCTGGTCATGACTTCCCTGACCGGAATATCGGGAACCGGGTCATCACGATTATCCAAAAACGGGTATTCCTTAAATTGGATCCAGGATTCGTAGATGCCACGCTTGCCGAACGCGTCACCGACCCACTTCGATATCATCACTGCTATCATGATTGGTAGGACATATGTTAGTGCTCCTGTCAGCTCGAACATTATCACGACGATAGAGACTGTCATTCGAGTTACCCCACCAAGGGCGGAGGCGGCACCGATGATGGCGAATACCCCGGGTGTCACGCACTCGATGTCGGGATCGCAGGAAGTGAATATCCAGATGCGTGGGTGGTTGCGCTGCCAGGCTTGGACCACCATCCCCATTGCACGCCCGTAGAGCGCACCAATGGCCATTGATGGGAGGATTATTCCTGCGGGGATCTGCAGACCGAAGGTGGTTGAGGCTAGAAGCATCACTAGCAACGCAGATAGGAGGAGGAGGATTGGCCCGGCGGCTTTGCCATGGCTGCACAGGTTTAGGAAGTCGTCGGTTTTGGGGGAGCATTCCTGAAAAAGGTTCGCTACTAGTTCTGAAGATTGGGGGCTTTGCGGGGTTAGCTAGTGGACTGATCCACGGGGGGGAGGGGGGGGAACTTCATGAAGGTTGTTGGAAAGTTAATTATCGCGGTGATTACCGCAACAATTACCACCTCCGTTACGGGGTATTTCTTAAACTTGGATTCTTTCCTCCAGCTGGCGATGCTCATGTTCAGTTTTATGAAGAAGGCTCCATAGAGGCCCTATCACTTGTTAGTTTAAAACACCCCATAACGATATCCCAACAGTTTGGAACAGAACGAACCCCCAAAACCCCAAGGATGGCAAACGGGACCATTTCAAAGTCGTGCCATCCGCGGGTGTACTTCACTTGGTACAAGACTAGTTTGCCGGTCCGGAATGGGTTCATGAATTGCAGTGTTACGGCAGCTACCATGGCGCAGACGAAGGACTGCCACATGGTCTTGTCTGGAAAGTAGTATGATAATTGCTCTAGGCTGAACAGTACTCCTCCGATTGGTGATCCAAATGCAACTGAGATTCCGGCCGCAGAGGCCGCAGAGAGAACTTCACGTTTACGGGCTATTCACAGATATCAATCCCGTGCCAAAGGTGTTCTTCTAAGCCCGGGGATCTACCTTCGTTTTTCCTCAGCGCATAGAACAGTTTCATGAGTAGATTGGCACAGCAGCATGCAACGTGGACTAAAGGACCTTCTTTACCCAACCATAGACCAGAGGCAACCGCCAGGCACTAGTATACCAGAACATTAGAATTGTTGATCCAGGCAAGAATGCACAAACTCACCAAGCCGAGAGATTTGATGACTAATGTCCAGGTCCCCATAAATCGCCGAATAACGAAACCCCCGAGAACAGTCTTGATCTCCGGAATTCCACTGTGGCGTGCGTATGCGGCATATCTCGTGACCAAGAGACTTGCGGTTGCTGCGAAGGCAATCTGTACGAATATAATAGTTAGAAAGACGGACAGAGCGTATCGTCGTCAGTCATGGCATCAGTACAGAGAAAATGATATAGAATAAATATTCGATGATATAACTACCAGCTTTAGAGCCCGTCACTCTCAGCGCCTGACTCCATGGAATCCAACTAACGCACTTGTCACTCGCTGCAGAGGTTGAAGGTCAGTCTTTATTTTACCGTTTATTCGCAGCCCGACATGTAGAAACCTACGCTCGAGTCCCAAGCAGCAGAACTCCCGACTCAGGTAAAAATTTGAGTCGCAATAGCCGTGTTTCAAATCCCCCAACCAGTTCGTTACGATGTCAATACCTGCCGCTAGCAGTCCGGCCGCTATCCCTGTGCCTATTAGCACAATCCATACCTGACTTGAATCCCATAACTGCGCAATGTGTCCCAGTATCCGTTTCCGCCGGAAAAGCGCCCGAGTACGTATCCGCTCTTTTGTGTATTCAAATATCCAATCTATAGCCGTAAGGTCATCATAAACACGCCGTCCGGGGCCTTCGGATGACCAAGGGTCTAAGGTCGATTGCGCCGGGTCTTTCTGGCCCTGTTCTGAACGATGGAGTTGATCGAGGTTGGTTCCAGAGGAATATGGACTGTACGCTGGTTCTGGTGGGAGGAGAGACGGAGTCGTTATGCCTAATGGTGTTCCAACGGAAAAGAGTGAATAGCGAGACGAAGATGCCCTCTGCCGACGTTTGAAAGTTATTCTGCGAAACGGGTTAGACACCGGGGGTTTCGGACACAATGCATGGAAAGGCAAACCTATCTGCACGATCTACCGATTCGCCTAATGGGACGCTATGACCCCGACCTCGCGTACTTGGTGAATCGAGGCCATCGCTCTCTTCCTCAACTGTTGGTTGATGATGATTCCCGAGCGGAGGAGAGCTGCTGGGAGACGATGAGGACGAGTTTCCAGGCTCGAAATTCAGGAGACGGTGCGGGGCCCTACTGCCTCCAGAAGAGGAGGGAGTCATGCTTAGACGATTAACGCGGGCGTCCGAATACCGTCTTGAGGTCGCTTCTTGTTCTGCGTGGGACTATCTGTTGCGGGAAAGGTGTTAAATTATTCCGGGTTGGAGCTTGCAGCACGACTGGGGTCACGTGGTGTTGATTCTTACACCTGGCTTCAGGATTTCGCGGCTCCGCTGGAGTATAGTACTTGTACAGTACGTGTACAGGTCGGTGCTGTGAGATGGGTGGATGGACTTCTCAACGCAAGAAAAATCCATCGATACTTCGTCCCGAATTCCTTGACATCCTAGGAGGAATTCTTGTACTTAAAGGGGTGATGAACTCTCGGCAGAAAAAGGAGAGAAGAGGAGCCTAAGAGCAAGCACCAGATATAGATTTCCCTTTACATCTTTCTTCAGCTTTTTTCATCTTCCGGATCCTCTTTACAGGTGAATTATGGGACCGGTAGTTCTATTGAATCTTCTTCCATACATCCTGTTGTCGTGACCAATCGGTATCATACAGCCCAACCTACCATATCATTTTGATGGAGGCCACCCCACAGCCTATTATCAATACTTGTACTGTATGATATCTCTGTTGATGCGAGTATATCTCTATGCTAAAGGCCCACCAAAGAGAGTGCACAGTACTGGCACAGCACCAGTATTGCTCCGGTATGGTGCAGTTGCGACAAGGTAAATTAATGACGGGACAAGTGTTGATCTGTCAATGTATGATGATCTATGTTCCAACAGTACAAGTAGAAGGTATTTCTGGTCCTGTCCGGTCACTACCTTGTCGCTAATGCACGATCCTATGGACTGCAAATCAAATTTGCTCCCGGGTGCCCATTATTAAGGGTAATTGTTGTCATAGGGGTTCACGGGGTTCACGGGGTTCACAGTGGACGGAGAAAATAGCCGGCCTTGTTCCACTATTTCCTTCACTCGTAAGCTGGGTGTAAGTTGATGTTTTATTGGCATTGTATCACTAGAGATATACAAGTATAAACCCGCAGAGAACAAATATTTTCTGCTAAAAACAGCCGTATTCGAGACCGTCCAATCACTAATCTAGTTGAGCAATCCAAACTAATTCCTTACCTACTCGAGTATATGTGGAATAGTTCCCCGGATCCTACCCCCCAAACCAGCTGAGAAGACATCGGGGCGTGCCAGTGGTTAGTACAGTACTGTACCGAACATTGGCCCTAGCACAATTTCTAAAAATTTTACATGGGAAATGGCAAGGCTTGGCGCCGGTTTCAACTCCAATTTTGTATCATACAATATATTGCAGGCCATACGAGTAGTAGCCAACAATTCTTTAATAATCTGAGCGTTTGAGATATTTGAAAGTTCTTACGACTTTAGAATGTAGTGCGCCGAAAGCGTCCTACCAATAGTCTACTTGCACTGCACTGTACTGTTTGATACTGACCATTTGTCACCAGCCTCGTATCAGAGTATGTACCGGTGTGGAGAATTGCTTGATTTGGAGGTTCGTTGCATGTATTTGATGGGGAGGAGGCTCTGGATATCTTTCATGTGTAAGAGGGGGCTTGGCGTGCAGGATTTTCTTCTTATAGCTTTTTCTTTCTTTCTCTGAGCAACACAATGAACACACACACACCCACCATGGGAAATAGAACTTTTTCATCTCTACCGAATTGAACCTACATTTCTTTCTTTTATTCCTCTGTGTTACTTGGTAAATTGATTCAATACTCACCAGTCCCTATTTTCAGGCAATTACTTTCAGGGATATCGTGAAGGTAAAGTAAGCTAGCGGGTAAGGCACAGTGCGTAGTCAAACCACCGTCCGGAAAAGGGGAAGGAAAAGAAAGAACCCCACACCGGTGCATACACTGGAGCTGGTTCGACAAACAGACCATACAAAACCAGTATGATATTCGCCAAGACATTTTTATATAGCTTGTTGTTTGAACCCCCCACCCATCTAACAATATGATTGTCCGGCGGCTTTCACTCATAACTCGGACTCCCGTAGAATATCGAGAAAGGAGCAAACTATTCCCACACTTACTGGTGCTCGCCTTGAGTGGATCAATCTATCCACACTCTTTACCCCTACCCCTGCCTCTTTATCATGCAATCACCTACAGAATACTTTCTACAGGGCATCGAACACTTTTTCTCTCTCTCTGCAATAGTATGTTTAATTGGGCGCAACTTTCACTCCTAAATTGAAGTCGGGTGCCATCTCTTTCTAGGTCACTCCCCGCGAAACCTTCCCCTCCCCTACCGGCAACTGTCCTGGTGCTGCGAATTTCCCAGCCTATCTATTCGCCTTGGCCAATTTTACGATTGTGAACTCCGTTCACCCCGTCCCCCCCCCCCGATCCTCGCGGTTTGCCTGAGACAGTCGGTCCTGACCTACTGGGGTCCAGTGGATTTTGACACTCTACAACAAGCCGCTGGGCACCTTATCGATAGCGCAATTGCCGCTCCGCCCTTAGTACCATCATGTCTCTACTTCAGAACCAAGAGTATTTGCCGAGTGAAAACTCTTATCTTCACTGTTCCACTCGCTGACCCTGGAGTAGCTTCGTTATCTATCGGATCCGCACCCGCTACCTTCAGGGGATGAGAGATGGGGTTGGAGAGCGACTGATTTCGGTCAATCCAGCATCTATAAACATTCCGGCATATAAGAATGCTGGTTGGGGAGCTGCTGCCGAAATCCGTCGCACTTATTCCCCGCCAATACCGAGTACCGGCGCCGAATACTTTACTGGGGCCCCGCCTAGGTCGGTAGGGCTAGGGGACGGGGCGCTCCCGACAGCGGTCATCACGGGGAGGCGAAACAACGATGACCAAGTGGACGATGACAATCTGGTTGGACTAGCTTCACATTTCTCCAATGGGAGCACCGACATGGCAGTGGACAAATTGGAGGTTAGGAGGAGGAGGCGGAGGGAGAGACAAGTCCATCGGGAAGATGATGATAGTTCTGACATGAGCGATGACTCGGATGATGATGAGGGAACGCAAGTGTAAGAATCCCAGATAGGTATATTCCTGAGCTCCACCCGTCTAAATTTCGGGTCAATTAGTGTTCAACCAACGATCCAATTTGACTTCCCAAAGAAGGAGATTGTACCTCCTCGTCCGCGGTCTGGTTCGTCCCCATTACGGGGCCCCCAGGTGTTGGTCACCTCACCTTCGAAATCTAGAACCAGGCGACTTCGCGGCGGTTCTCACGGCGACGTAGATTTTCAAAAGAACAATCTTGATCACCTTCCTCCTGCAGACGAGGGACTTCTGTCCAGTGGACTTGTGTCAGAGATTGAAAAACTCCACGCAGAAATCACCGACAAACTTCGATCATCTCCAAATTCTTCGCTTCCACGAGATGAAGGGTTTGGTGATGAATCTGCTGATGACTCGGATGCGAGCACAGCTATGTCATCTGACTTCAATGAGACCGCAGATTCGCACCCTGCTGTCATTGGCAATTCATTGTCTCTACCTCAGAAACGTCAGGCTATGACATCGCCGGCCGTTCTCCACGCCCTACCCCCTCCGATCCGCCCTATATCTCAAGTGCAACCGATATCAGCTTTGACACAGCTGCTAAAAGCGAAGGAATCTGAGGCTGCTAATCCTTTCGAGAGCTACAAGGATTTCTCTGGAAAGGGCGAGTTACGCTCAATAACACTAAAGCTCCTTATCCCACACACTCATTCGTCATCTTTGTTTGAAGTAAACATTAAACAGGAGGGCAGTACCAAGAAAGAGACAACGGTGCTTGATGCGATTGGATTCGTGCTATATAAATACATAGAAGACAAGAAGGAGCCCGTCTTAACGGAAGAGTTGTCGAATATCAATAAGTGGGTTTTCAGAATGGTTGACGATGGCGAACCAGATGATGACTTCCCACCACTGGAAAGAACGCAACCAATCACGAGCTACATCGTTAAGAAAGGGAGGGGAGGGCGAGGATTTGCCAGGGATACAAAACTAGAAGGCGAATTTGCGCTCTGTGAAGCAACTCAAGCTCAATGTTTGTATTCTTCTCGTTCTGCGCCATCTTGCCCACTAATAGACATCACAGTTCTTGAAAACGAGAGAGTTACTCCAAATCCGATCGCGCCCAAAAAAGCTCCAGCTGGCCCGCCCGCTGCACCATTCTCATCTGCATCGGAAACCCCAACCCGGCAAACAAACCAAACAGCTACCCCAGGGGGCACTTCAAGAATTTTGCGCATCCACTTATCGACTATTGATGAATTCGCGCAGTCAGTCTCAGTTTGTGTAACAACCAACACAAACATCAGCGAGGTTCTTGACCAGGTGTGCCGCAAAAAGCATCTAGAAAAGAGTAAATACGTCCTCCGTATAGCTGGGACTCCATCACACGCATTCATACCACTCGAGCGTACTGTTGTCACTCTCGGAGAGCAAGACCAGCTCGACCTTGTCCTCCGGAACATCCCTGAAAGCCCGACAGCCACTCTCCGCACTCCTAAAAAGAGTAAATTCCTCCAACCCACCGCAACTTGGACCCCAGATATGCTCTCCAGTAGAGACTACCTCAAGTACACCGTTTGGCGCAAAGCGTCCATGTCCTTCATGGCCCGCCACGAACGCATACTCGCAATCGACGGCGAGTACGTACATGTCATGCCATCGGACCAGAAAACCCTGTTTGAGAACAGCTCTAAGACTGCTAGCATACACATTAGCACTATCATCGGATGCAAAACGTATCGCAAGATGCCTAGCAGCTTTAAAATCGTCGTGTTGAGGCCGCAGCGAGAGACAAAGCTGAAACGGTACGATTTCGAAGCGGTGAATGAGGAACAGGCGGTCGAGTTGGTGGAGGAATTAAGGAAGGCGATGGGAAGGTTTAATGGTGGTGCTGAGGGGTAGTGGGTGAGTGTTGATGAGGTTGGAGTGATGTATGTAGATACCCTTTGTGTACTAGACTTCTGCAGTGCTGGTGCATAGAATTAGATGGGTTTGGCGTGGATTGGGATACTATTAGCTGTTTCGCATCCTCAGCTCCACTCCCGCGGGCGCGGGATCCGTAACCGTAGAGAATAAGCACTC